ATGGTAACTAGATTACAGAATGTGAAGGGACATTCAAATACAAAGGGAGCTATGGACCTGTGGCTTGCCTTTGAGAAATGGAGGCAAGAGTGGCACGATGCTGTGGTCTGTATTTCTTTGCCTAAGCAGATCTCAGTGAACTTTGCATTTGAATTGAGGTTTACACTACCAAATAACGTGTCTTTACTCTCAGTTTACTAGTAGCCTTTGTAGTTCCTGAAGATCACAAACAAGTTGCTCTGTGGAATTTCCAACAGTTGGAGATTTTATGCTTTCCTGTTGTGTAGATCCAGAGCTGGAGTGAACTTTCAACAGCCATACATCATTCTTCTCTTTTTCCTGGTTTAAAAAAAAAAAAAAAACAAACACAAAGATTATCAACACTAGTTCTTTAGAAATACAAACGCCAATTTCCTAGATTCGATGAAATACAACTATTTGTGCTGCTTCTCAGCAAGTGACTTTTCATGAGTCATTGTTTGTCTCCAGGAGTTTAGGTTTTGTGCTTAAAAGGTGGCTGGTTTAATTGTTACGTTTCAGTCTTTGAAAGGAACTCAGCTTCATGTTATCAACAAAACCAACTATTGTTCTTCTGTTTTTAAGAGCTTCTGTACAGTGCCCAGCACTCTGATGCCACTTCAGAGTACTTGAGTATGTGCTTACATTTGAGTGCGTGACTATAGGACGGAGGGCCAAACACCCGTGGCTTGTGAGCCACGCACCATATTCAGAGACCTACAAGAAACATACCAAAACTTTTGGAGCATTCAGGGGACCAAGAGCTTCAGGAATGGCTGAAAGATGGTGCCTTTTCAGGTTGCTTGTCATCACTTCATTGTACTGGCAGGAAATGGGGTGTGTACTGAGACTGTAAGTGAACCCTGTAATGTCAGCCTAACTTGTTTTCCCACTGCTGAGGATTCACATTAGTGAGTAGCAAAACACTTTTGTTGTTTGTGTGACATACCTCTGACACAAGAGCCACAATTTAGGGATTGGCTAGCCACAGGAAGCCCAAGAGTCATCAACTGGTCACTGCTGTAGTAGGAATGAATTTATGCTGTGTCCAGGCCAGAGCATCGGTATAGGGAGTGATCAAGCCCTAAATGGGGAAGAAAACCCTTTTGAGGTGTAGCTGTTTCCAGAATTAGTAGCATATTGGAATTGCTCTTGTTCAATCCTTTACTGAGCTTTTCTTAGAAATGCACAAATATTGGTGGAGGAATGGAAAACAGTTGAAATCCCGTAGCACATAAAGAAGCAGCAAAGAAGAAACAGAATGCTGTGCTTCCTTTTCAAAGCTAAAAAAATCGTTAAGGTAGCCTAGGAATCACACCCCTGCTTATGCTTCAAATAAGATACTTCATACTGATAAGGGCTCCCGAATTTTGTGACCTGTGACTCTGTCAGCTTCGCACATTCCTTGCACACAATGCACTGTTATCATCAACTTTTTTATAAAAAGCATTTTGAGAGTATAATTTCCAGCTGCTTATCATAAACCATGTATGGTTTGTACATTGCTGCTTGGGAAGTGATAATGTAGCCGGGAGTGCTTGTCATAAAAGACACGCTAACAGCATGTTTATTGGCATAACAAAAGTTAGAGTCTGAACACACACTGAAACTCTGCTGTGTTATTTTCACTTATGGGGAAAATGCTGCAAAATAGTGGTGAGGCGAAATGGTAGGAAGCTTAAATCATCTTTGATAAAACTACACTAGTTTTTTAAACTGCCAGGCAGGGTCTCAGCAGAGCAGAGTAGTGGGGCGGGATCACCTCCCTCGACCTGCTGGCCACGCTGCTTTTGATGCAGTCAGGGATGTGGTCGGCCTTCTGGGCTGCGAGCACATATTGCCGGCTCATGTCCAGCTTTTTATCCATCAGTACTCACAAGTTCTTCTCCATGGGGCTGCTCTCAATCCCCTCATTCCACAGCCTGTACTGATACCAGGGTTGCCCTGACCCAGGTGCAGGACCTTGCACTTGGCCTTGTTGAACCTCATGAGATTCACATGGGCCCATTCCTTGAGCTTGTCCAGGTCCCTCTGGATGGCATCCCATCCCTCAGGTGTGTCAACTGCACCACTCAGCTTGGTGTCATCTGCAAACTTGCTGAGGGTGCACTCGATCCCACTTTCTGTGTCATTGATGAAGATACTGTCCTTTGAATTTTTTTAACTCTTAAACTTTTTGGTTTAACCTAGTGTTAAGGAGGAGAAGGTAAGATGCTTCTCTGAGGAAAAAAGCAGAGACATTGTGTGAGACAAATGATCGTAAGGAATTTGGTAATACAGAGGAGGTACAAAAGCTCTCCAGAAAGCAGATTGACTACTTTTAAGTAGCAAAAGAAAGTTTTTGATCTTGTAGTGATCTTGACCTAAGGCTGTTGCAGTGGGGCGTCTTATTTCCTCCCTATCAGATGGAAAGACATAGTATCGTGGCCATCCTATTTCATTTCTTCATAGTCTGTTTATTTGTACTTTCACAATACTTTTGGAAGACCTTGAAAAATAATAATTTTCACTGAAATTTTCTTATATCTTCTCTTTTAAATGCATTCTGTCTATTAATATGGGAACATTGGGACCTTTGGTTCTTAAAATTATACCAGCTTGGCCCTATCTTATCACCTGCTGCTGCTCCGTGTTTCTGAGATAAAATTGCGGTCTTGCATTTATCCCAGTTTTGTACAAGAACATATATTCTCTGTGAGGAATCTAAGAACATAAAATGATTGTATGAAAGAATGAGAAAAATATTATTGGAAACTTAATGTATTTTTTTTTTTACATTCTGAGGATGATTCCTGTATTTTGATTGACCTTGTTAATAGGTTTTTTTTTTAAATCATGGGTATTGTGATAATAGCTTTCACGATTTCCCAGGTATTTACACTTTATGGCACTGAACCTGAAAGCTTTTCTTTGGGGTTGGTTGTCTGATCTGTAGAGTACTCCACTAGAAGCAGTGGGACTCTATTTAATATATGTAGGACTCAACCCAAGCAAAGGAAATTTCAGAGGCAGAATATATTCTATAAACAAGCCAGGCATCTAGGCAATTTCTGATTATATACACATACTAATTTGTACAATTGTAGTTTAAATATTACATTTCCAAAAACTTTTCAGAAGAGTAAGAAAGCAGGTATCTTCATATCTGCATAAACGTTTAGCCTGAATAGTGTATTACTTGACCACATATATTACGGAACAGTGCTATTAATTTAGCATGGTGGAAAAATTACTCTAAAACAAGAATAAAGGGTAAACATGAATAACAACACTACCAACATATATAATCAGTCTTTTGTCAGACAATACATTAAGTATTTCTATAACAAAAACAACTGATATCTTCAGACTGGCTCATAATTAGGCTCCTTTCCGAAAATAATTGATTAATACAATAGCTGCCCAAATCCCAGTTCAACTTAATTTCACTGACTTTGATTTTTGGACTAAAAGCATTAAGCTTGAACTAGTGAAAAATGTACAAAATGTGCATTCAATTAAGGAGTAATTAGATACTCAATCACCCTTACATCACACTAGGGATTATCCAAGAAAGAAGAGAGATACTACTCTCTGCAGTGTATAAAACAGTTTTCTTAATTAGTTTAGCACTAATTGAGATTGAGAAAGTGTCACTGTGTCACAGCATTATTTTGCCTACATGGAACCTTAAGAATACAAAGTTTTTGGCTTGTTTTGAGCTTCCTTGCTCAGATTTTTCAGTCTAATTCCCTGATCCAGTATCTTCCATCCATGCAAGAGGAACCTTTCCTGTTTACTTCAGGGAGGGGGTTGGTCCCTGCACTCTCGTATCAGTAGCCACTGAAAAACATGCCAAGAGTTTTTCCAGATTTGTTATTATTACATGTTTTTTTATGTTACACCTTTATACCAAACCCCAAGAAGAACTGGGTATTCTCTGTGCTGTTACATAGAGTGTAACTGTGGCTAAAACCAGCTGCACTGTGAAGGGTTTACAGCCTCCCTTAGAAGGCAGTTGGTAGAAAGCTCTTCAGGCTGACCATCAAATGGTTCTGCTGCTAGACACCGTGACTTTTGGGGGTGTTGAGTGATAACCAGAGAGCACATGGAAATCATGGCACAGATTATCTCATGGGTAGACACTGACTTCTTAACAGCACTGCTGGTGACTGACAGCCTCTATACTCCCTTCCTCTTTAAGAAAAAGGGTGGGAACTCGCTACAGATGTGTTGACCTTGCAAGCAATTGTAGCCTTAGGTGACCATTTGCACCCAAGCACTTACAGATTTTTTGTGTTTACATACTGAGCTATAGTTAGCACTAGAATAACGTCAGGAAAAAGTGAAATTATTACTACAAAGAAATGAAATGATTTGACAGTCTCATACCTACCACTTCTGAACTGAGAAGCACTGGGGCAACCTGAGCGGGTGATTTCCTAAGGTTATGCTGAAGCACATGAATATGCGTTTGCATGAAACCAAGTATTGATTTATCTCTGCTGATGAATGAATAAGAATATTATGGCTATTAGAATGGACAAATTGGGTGATTGCTTTCTGTCTCCTGAGCCCACCTGACTCCCATGAGAGCTGTGTACCCAGCACTTCACTTGGTAGGGCCCCTAAAATGGTAAATGGTAAAAATTTCTCTGTGGCTAGTATATTTTCCTTTCCTGTCATGCTCTCCACATTAGAATCAATTACCTGATATATTCAGAAAGCAAATTATGAATCTTTGTTTCAAGTTAATAATTTTACCACTGCATTTAACTTTGCTTTTTTATTGCCGTTTCCTCCATCTTCCAGAACTGGCTTTACCCTAAAAGAGAAGAATCAGGTCCATTATGTCACTGAAGTATATACCCTGAAACTGCCCCCACCTGCTGTCATGAAATCCCTGCTTTTAGTTTTCCCTGTCTCCCTGGCTGGACATAAACAGTCTTTCAGACCCACTGCAGACAAATTTCAGTAACATAATTGTTCCATTCTCTTTTCAGAGAGGGGGAAGACAATGCTCCCACAGTGCCCTCAGATGAGAAATGGAAACTTCTGAGGCTGCTGCTTCAGTTGAACCACAAAGCCTGTATTGTTTGTCTTCATCTAGTTCAGCCTTGATAGACAGCTGTGACAGTTGGTCTGTCCGCACGGTCCAGTGAAATTCTGGGAATGGAGCTGTATGTGAAAAGAAGAAAACATGTTAAATCTTCCAGTTCACACTGTTAACTATTTTTAAATAGTAGTTATCATTGCTTATATAGTTTCTTTGCCCTAGCATTCAATAGTCGTTTGTGATCCAAATATTACTGATTTTAAGCTTGCTATGAATGTTAATATGTAGAAATACTCATTATTGTTTTGAATGTTAGATTTAATTTTACTCCGTATCATCTCTTGTGCTGTCAGTAACCATCTTTTCTGTAGAGAGGAGGTGCATTCTATAAAGCTAATAAAAACATTGTTTGTTCCCAGAGCATTATACAAATTCAGAATTAATTCTTGGGCAGAAAGGAGCACTTCTCTGCCAAACCTATGCACTTAACACATTTTATCTGAATAAAGCTGAATGACATTTGCATTACTAGGAACTTTACTGAAATAAAAGACAATTTTGATATAAGGAAAATTAACTGGTATAACAATAAACAGAATCATCTAGATTATTCTCTACTTGGTGAGTCATGAAACTTTGGAAAGAAGTGTTCAATTCAGGCAGAAAATGATCGGCCTTTGTTCTCCAGTGAATTATGACAGTTCTGTTGTTCTGTACATTGTTGACGATGGTGGTCTGGGGACCTGCTCTGCATGTCCTGAGCTCACTGCACAGCATGAGGATTGCCACGCTGGGCCACACATGACACATCTGACAGAACAGATAAGGGAACGGTAGTCTAAGCCAGCTAGTCAAGCTTATAGCTTCTGACTCCTGCAAAACACCAAGATCTGAAGGAAAGAGGCAATAATGTGGTGGGCAATAGCTTTGATTACCATAGGTATCAGTGAGGTTCACTTTACTAGCATGAGAAGGGCAGGTTTATGCAGAGATCTACATGAGTGGAAGAACGTGGGAGGCACAGATGGCAAGCTCCAGGCAAGTGCACAACGGAGATGCAAACTGCAGGTTCATTAAGGGGAGGTTACTCCCTTGGAGCAGATCCGTGAGTCACCAATCACAAAGTCTTCACCAGGGAATGGTAAATGCAGTGTCAGAAGGCATGCTTAATCCACGTTGTCAAGGGTTCTGGGGAGACCTGCTGCTGAATAATGAGTTATGAATTCTCCAAGTCATTTATGTGTATATTAGGGACAGCAGAAACAACAGGACAAACCCACACACCACACGTGAGCTGGGTGAAGGGGGGTGGTTACTGCTGACGACTTCATGTGTTCGTAGCTGTGTGTACTGCAGAAACACATGCTTCCTTTGGAGTGACACACAGCTGCCCTTGATAGAATGCATTGCAATAAATATGTAGAAAATGTATAGAAAGCGGCCCACTGTGAAGTCACCTGTTTGTTTTGGGCTGAGCAGAGTAGCAATTGGCAAATTGCTCCTTGGGCTTATAGAAACTTGTATTTCTTAGGGTTATGTTTAAGGAAGTCCCTGTCCACCTTCTGCCCAAATTTAATGAAGTATAACCCCATTATCTAGTCAAGGCATTCAAGATTTCAGTGCTGGCCAAAACCACGCTTTCCATCTGCAATGTCCCCAGCGCTTCCATAATGTCCATGTAGCAGCTTCACTGGCTGCTCTCCTCCTACTTTCAGCAATGGCTCCTCAAGCAGCTGCAGCCAGAGCCCAAGCCCAATGCTCTGGTCAGCAGAGCCTGGCCTCCTGCCAGCCCACATCTTGCCGTAGGGCAGGGAGGACTCTGCATAAAGTCCGCTGCAATGGCCTGCAATGTCTAGGCTGGACTGTCTGCAGTTTTTGACAGGAGTTTGATAGTTTGTCCCAGTGTTCAGGTTTGGGACTAAAATCTTGAAAAGAAAACAATCCAAAACAAAGCCCTACAAGGTGGAAGTCAGCTGGTTTCTGCTAGTTGACCTATTCCTATCTCCTTGCACCTAGCAATGAAGGAACCCTCCACAAGTGGAGTGAACCATGTTCTGAACTTGGCAATTCCCAGGTTTTATGCACAGCTCATTTGGAAAATCCATACCCTTTGCACACAACATATTATTAACTACTGCGTATTAACTGAGAGGAACTGTAGTATTAATATGGAAAATATTGACATTATGATGAAATTTGAACTAGATCTATTCTCTAAATAAATGTGTTCCTTATCTTGGAGCCGGCTGATATTATTCTGGCTGTGAAATACAGATACATTGCAAAGCAAATGATGTAATGTCTCCACTGAAAAATTTAAGTCCATTATTTCCCTTTCCTGTGCTCCCTTCCTGTGTTTGCTGTTCTTTCCTGCAATGCCTTGTGCAGTGAACTTCTAGTCGCATAAATACTACTACTGAAGAACTGAGGTTAGTAAATTTGCTTCAACATTTGTGAGACTTTTTTTTATAGATTTGGCTTTGAAAGAGAAAAAAAATCCCACTGGTAAAAATACTTAAAACTGTATTTTGTCTTTAAAACCAGATCTAATTATAACAACAAATTAATTCACAAAACACACCCATTCTAATTACAGATTGGTCAACCCACATTTGTGGTGTGTTGAGAAAGTTAAATTAGTCTTTCTGGTTTTGGTAGGAATCCGCAGGGAGGAATTTGCAGGAAGGGCTCTCTGTGTATTACTTCAGTTACACTGCACCCAGGAGAGGTTTTACTGAGCGTGATGGGGCTCTGCTACTTTCCAATTAGAGTTTCCCCATGCCTGCCTTTATATTAACATTTTTAAGAAATCAGAAAAACTGATAAAGTTGTTCTGAGGGTAGTGCAAGGCCCTAAATTAATAATTTCCTCTTCAAGCCTACAGCTACTGAAATTCTTCAGAATGAGATTGCTATTTGCACTGGAAGTATTTTTAAAGGTAAGTATTAATGTCTGTGATGTTCCACATAATTTTAAAGATTTATTAGAAGTACGAATTAGAACTTTCCACAAGGTGTTGAGCACACTTGTTGATTAAGAAATTAATGACATAATACTTCAAAGCAGCTACAGGCTTCATGAGGCACAAGCTTGCTCTGCAGCCTTCCAGTAAACTTTGGGATGGTACAGGGAATGAGAAGAAATCCAGCTGCTGGGAGAAGGCAGGTGGTCTGGGGCAGGACGTCTGCTGTCAATGACCTTCCCTCTGCAGGTGACATTTCTTTGAGTTCCTCTTCAGTTTTCTGGAGCTCCCAGGAAAACAAAGAGGCTTAAAACTCTTAGCTTGTATTCAGACTATGGTGCAATGGGCTTTGCACCCTGGGCTGTGATCCTGAGCTCCTGTCAGTTCAGATCAGAGAGCACTGAGCTTCCCTACAGCGGCCTTCTGCCCTGGCTCCCATGTTTCCTTTGCATTGCACAAGTGGAGCAATAATGAATACTAGATCTGTTCCCAAAATACACCTGGGAGGTGACCAGGCATAAATTAGTGTGGGTTAAAGGACAGACTTGATTCCAGACATTACAGTGGCAAGCATGGTATGGTAGCTGTGTATAGAAACAGGCGTGAACTAGAACAGTGAGTCTGACAGGAAATGAGTGGTCCCTGGCAAGCATCCCTGCCTGTCTCCTAAAGGTCGATTCATTGGTGTTCCTGAATCCCAGAGGGTAATTGAAGGCTAATGTTGCTGAAGAGTTAAAAATGCTTAATAACAGGACAACACAAAGTAAAAATAATTTTCCTAAGAAATTTCAGCTGCATTTTGCTGAGACTGAAGAAGCAATGAGGACGGGCAGATCCATGCACAGGCAGCTTCACAAGAAGTCATATACATCAGTGTTCTCCAGAGCCAGCCAGGGTGCAGATACCGTAAGCTCAGACTTGCCTTCATTGAGTTTGACTGGTGGGCACAGCACTGGTGCAGTAATGGCCTTGTACAAATTAAGCCTTTCATGGTTGTCACATCAACTCCAGTGAGAATGAAAAGAAGCTTCCTTCCTTGTAGAAATGGGATAACCCTATGATGAATGATGGCTGCAGAGGAAAAGGGGAAGATGCTCTCTTAGGGTTGAGGACTCTGTAAAGACGACAAATCCTCCTTGGTGGAGTTTCATGGTGGCATTATCAGCCATGGAGTCAAACTTGATGTGTTCTTCCTTCATACACCAGTGCTGCCTGCTGAAATGTCAGGCAGCTGGAGAACCACCCACCACATCTCCTGAGCCTGGACCATGGAGGATGTATTTGGAAGTGTTTATGTGCATATTTATTTATGAAATCATAACTGTCATTGTAAGCACACATCGGTGTGTATATTTGTATCTTTAGAAAGTTATACATAGAAAAACCGTTCTTAAAAAAGGACAATTTAAAATTAATTTTAAAGCTTCTAATTAAAGCTAAGAAATTCCAGTATGAAGACTGTGTGCCTAACTCAGTTCACCAGCGCTATACATATACCAGCACTATACATACACTATTGGTATTTGTATGATTGGGTATTTTTCACTTTGCTTAATGAACATGTGTTAAAGTACCTTCTCTTCTCCCCCATCATTCATTATTCAGTCCCAGGTCCTTTATACTGAATGCTGTTTGAGGCTTGCTCTGAAGACATAATAATTCTTTTGCTCTTGGGGCTTTCTCTCTTACAGTATTCGTTTGAATGCTTTAGATCTATTAATGAACTTATCTTTACACTCACTTTGCAAATGCCTTCTGCCCTGTATCACCTGAGGGATATTCATTTTTGATCACTGACAGGCTATCTGTATGATGCCAGGCATAAGAAAAAGGCTCAGCAGTCAGCCGTGTTAGAGAGATACTCTTCATATTGACCTGCCACACATGTGGTCCTTGTCCAGGAGAACTTATTATCACCTTATCTGCAAACTTAAAAACCCAGCATTGACTCAGTAGTCAGGTCACCTTTTCAGTCTTCTCCCTGATAAATTTGCTGAGATGATGACTCCTATTGCAAGGTTTGTTTTTCAGTGCTGTGTCATTTGTTGTGATGCTTCTGTCCAGTATCTTCACATCCTTCTCACCAGTGTTCTTACCATGATGTGTACAGAGGCAGTGGCAGCTCTTTATTTTTACTTGGTCTTCCCCAGAGCCTGACCCCATCTTGATCCCAAAAGGTCCTTCTCCTCCCCAAATATCAGGCAAACTACCAAAGATGGGGTATAAGAAGGGGAAATATTAGATAAAATTGAAAAGAACTTGCCATATAATGTATACAATGAGCTATTTAAGCCTTGAGTAACAAAGAAAAAAATCCCATAGAGATAGCATAAAGCAAAAACAGCATAAAGAAACTTCCTTAACTGTCCTTTTCTCTAGCAGGGATGCGGTGGAAATATTCCTTCTCTATTTCCATCTCGACTCGATTGTGTTGGAATTGGCCCATTCTCTGTTGG